CAATATATTTTAAAACACTCCGACTATCGGAACAAATTAACGTTTTAGCCTTTAGATTTACAGCATTTAACTCGGCATTGAAGATTCTTGCGTGCGGAGGTAGTAGTGCTTGCTTCAGAGTTTTGAATGAGTCAACTGAAGTCTGCTCTACTACAGCGTAGGTCACGATACCACTCTGAAGGGATCCGTCCGTAAAGATGATTACCTCTGGGCCAAAGTGTTTAATGATTTAAAGCAGTATTGTTTGAACACATCAGCATTTGTGTTTCTTTTTCTATATTCACAATGTGACAGATCCGTTTTAAAGCAGACTTTTGAGTTCCGATTTTTTTCCGGTTTGGCTGGTAAACGTACTTTCTTATCTTCTAGGAAGCGTATAATATTTTCCAGTGGGCATGATTTTATTCCCCGTGTTCTTTCATTGCTTTCTATTAAAACTTGCCACATTTTTTCGTGCAAGGCATGTGTTTGTGATGTTAGAGCTTTCGCCGCTAGATTTGTTGACCTGCGTAGTAAAAACCAAGTAAAGTCGTGAAAACGCGCTTCTATCCTGAGGGTATCAACGTGTGTTGCAGTAAGCAGTCCTGACGCCGTCCTAAAACATTTATTTATTGCCGCATTAACCTTATTTTTGTTTTTTTTCAGAGGTCCATCCATAAATAGTCAATCCATGTTGGATTATGCCTTCGGTAATAGCTCGACAAATAGAAATTGCTGTATCTTATGCATACCCTTCTTCCTAGTGCAAAATATTTTCAGCAGGTTGTAAACTTTTTTTAATTTGTCGCAAATCGTGTTTACGTGGTCATTACACAACGCATTTCTGGAGAAAGTTAACTCTAGTATGGTAATTTTCGATTTAAGTTCCATATTTTCATTTCCTATTTTTAATTTCGAAGTGTTGCATTTATATTTCCTACAGATATGCATAGCTTCCGCTTTTCTTAAGGGTACCACCGCTCCTGTAGCTTTAGCCCATTGCTGAATTTCGTCATTGAGCTCATTCAAAATTTCGCTTGTTTGCTCTGGTGCACCTGAAGAGAGCGCAAAAATGTTATCGGCATATATGCCCATACAGTCCACACCGTTTGTGTTTCTGATGAGTTTGATTAGAGTGTTGCAGTAAGCGTTGTACAGTATGATCGACAGAGGAGAGCCTTGGTAGGCCATTATCTAAATTAAGGGGTTTTGACAGGAAGCCGTCTACATGGACTGAGATTCTTCTTTGGGACATGAAGGAGTGAACCGTTTTTATTATATGTTTTTGGTATTCCCCAGCCGGTCAGTTCCTTTATATTGACCGATAATATAACCCTATCTAGATTTAAGAGAGTTTAAGTGTAGTATATAGAATGTATTTTGACATAAAATATATTTAAGAAATTTGTCTACAGATTTATTAAAACCTTCCGATTGTCTAAAGAGGCGTTTGTGAGCCAAATCTATTTAAAATGTTTTAAAACTATCAGCAGATCTACGATCTCAGAGATCGTGCCAACTGAGTGTTGGGATTTTCTTTCAAAAGTAAAACCAGCCTTTCGAGCTTGTGTTTTGTATTCACGAC